CATTTTTAGCTAACTTATTCATTATCGACTCAAAAATTATAAAATTCAAGCGATATATGTTCTAAGACGCCAGGAATTCGATAGGCATGCTTGCAGAAATGGTAGAGGAGTTTCAGAGGGGTTTTGAAACGATTTTCAACCTTTTTTTGCTCGGAAGGTGATATTCGTGATCAGCATGAGCTGGTGAATCAGAATATGTATAATAAAGCCAAAAATAAATTTCACTGTCAGTTTGCTTTCCGTGCACCTTATAATATATAACAGCATATGATAATTTTCTCGTTAGAGTATCGTCTTCTTGCTAATTTTGCACAGAATCATTTCACTTTTGTTTTACACACTTTACAAAATTTTAACTGACAACAAAAGAGTTTTGAAAATGGATTAAGTATACAATTGTGACCGATAAAGTCATCAAGAGTGTTGAGCGATTTAGCATCGGGCACGTTGCTGAGCATAAAAGACTGAATTTCTGCCCATTTTCATCAATTTTCACAGAATTTAAGGTTACATAAAATTCTGAAAAATATATGCATTTATTATTCTTTGATTAAGTCAGTTTTTTTAACGTAAGCACATAACTCCCATTTTCTACAGATAAGTGACAGAAAACACTCACATTCACATGAGATTTTTTTTCTGTTCTCCGTCAGAAATAACGGTTGTTATAAACTTTTTATTCGAAGAAGAAAAAAGAAAATACACCAAACAAAATAGGAGTCAAGGATTATATTATGTCTCTCAATATATCGGTTATAGAATAGAAGTCCGGTGGAGTTTTAGATTATAAATTATTTTCTTTGCAAATTATGAGTGTGGAGTGCTTTTATTGAGATCAACTGTTTTGATCGATATTCAGTGAGTATGATGACGGGACGAATAGTTTATAGAATAGCAGTCTCTGTTTAGTAGTGAGCCAATTTCAGATCGCACTTGTACGTTTGTGTTATGTACCTGTATATCACTAGAAGAGGTTGAATCAGCATTATACTTATTTCAAACTCTTATTGTCATGTTCTGTTATCCATATCAATATGAAGTATATGCACTTAAATAACAAAATCCGATACCATTTTCTATGTTCGATTGTTATATAGAATATGAATACAATCATTACTAGTAATTATCAAAGGTATAAGTAATCACAGTGAAGACATTGTAACTATAGATGTCACAGATGAGTGAAATAATAATAACACGTTAATTGGGTGGACGGTGACAGAAAAAAAATCATATGTGTATGTCACTTTTTTCTATTCCTTATCTGTAGCAAACAAGAGTTATGCGTTTAAAAAACTGAATCATCTGATATTCCATTTAATTTGCTTGGCTGTAAGCATTTAATTCTACAAGTTTTGACGTAGAACGATATCTGTGTACCGTTGACCTATCCATTGTGTCACCATACTCACAGAAACATAATGCCTCAAATTGAGGAGCTGGATAATTTACCAACACCTGTTCGAGAATTATTTTTAAGCAAAAATCAACAAAGTAATTCAAAAGCACGACTTAGCAGATGTGAAGATGATCATGACACCAATAACCACCGAAGTCAAGGTACAAAAGCCTTTTTGATCTTTATAAACCTCTTATGATAATGTTACTTTGTTTATAGTGGATGTCATCTTTCCTGGAGGAGCACCTGCGACCGATGAAGCAGTTACCCGAACGTGTTCATCGGTCTCTGTAGGCGGCAAAGAATTGCTGCTAGAGACCTACATTTGGCGGGATTTTATGCCTATCTGCCCAAAAGATGGTACACCAATGATCGCCATACTCAAAATCTGTACAATCAATTCAAGTCCGTTTCCTGCTGATGTTCAAGCTGATTTGGCATGGATTGTCTACGGTACGCAAGCCTGGGCTATCCATGTTCTTGAGGAACGTCCACGAACTTGTGAGCGAACATATCTGAGAGTAGTCGGGCGTGACGGTCCAAAATGGGGTCCCCGTATCAGTGTCGATGTTATAGTACAATTGCGAGATGCTCAAGGAAAAACTTTCTTATTGCCGGCGTATAGTCAAACTGTCCATTGTACAGAGTGATCAAGTTTAGTAAAGCATTCTCTTCTTTGCTTTTTAGAATAGATACACTTCTATCAAAGCTAATTGCAATATTTACACAGCCAGATTCTGTAGTTTGATGCATCATGTTTGTAGTTATATTATTGTATGTAACAGTTAAAGAATTTTTTTAAAAGAAGCAAGAAAGCAAATAAAGTTATAGATAGAAGACGTCGTACTTGTTTGATGTCTAAGGACCATTGCACGAGAAGCATGACAGGTAGCTCAAGAACACATTTTTGGTAAGCGTGGCTCGTACTATTTTTCTTGAAAATAGTTGCAACGCAAATAAACTTGATAACCACTGACAATCATTCAGAGATAGGTAATCGACCAGTGAATCGCGTGGCAACGCTTATTTTCAGGATGAATTTCAAAACACTACGAAATGTGAAATAAGCAATTTTGGCAAGGGGGAAAAACCTCACTTTAAGTGCCCTTAAGTGTGTGCGCCTTCGAGTTAAGTGTCACTTAAAGTGTTTAAGTGATACTTAAGTGATTAAGTGTCATATCAAATTACGCAACTTCCTGGAAAATCAAGAATTCAGCCCTATATGTTCCAAAATATAAAATATATGGACTTCGGCTGTTCCGCGTCATACGAGTCTGTTTGTGTTCATCATTTTAATGAACACAGTTAGAATGCATCTATAGATGTGAGTACAAAATCAAAAATGTACACCAGAAAACTGTAAACAGTATTTACAAAAAACTGCTATTTGTTCACTGTTGTTATTTTACTACGTATAGACGGGCGATAGATTTTTCACAGTCTTTCTCTTTCTCTATTACTAATCGTTCGTTCAGTTATGGATGCTACTCACTCGAAGTAACGTCTTTATCTTATTCTTTGGTCTCTTTTCTCTCTTTTCTATTTATACATAATTCTGATAATTTGACTTGATAAGAATAAAATAGTTCATAATTATTGCTATTATTGTTTATGAAGTTAATACTTTGGTTGAGAGATTTTTTGAGCTTTTTTCTTTCGTATTTATTAAATATATATTAAATAAACGTTTCGATATGTTAGCATATCATTCTCGGTAGTATAAAAGCGAAATAGTTTATAGATCCACAATCTAAAATTATAACAATTTTTCAAAATTTGAATAACAATGTTAACATGATGTATACAATGGTAGAATAGGAGTTGATAAACATCATACATAAGATTTATCTATATCTTTTTCTTATTATCTGTCGTCTCTGATCATACCTCGCATTTCTTTTCTATACTGGATTACTTTCTTTCCTTCTTTCTCTTGTCCTTTTCCTTCTCCTGCTTTCAAATTATTTCCTTTTGTTTCTTTATCTGTTTGTATCGGAAAATTGTGTAGGTTGCAAAAACGCTCTTTATGGCATTTAGTGCGAATGTAATTCATTGTATGTAGGTGAAAGTTAGTGTTTCGACGTAGCCAACGCAAAAGTAGAATTGTCAGAGATTGCTAGACATGCTGTTGCATGAAAAAAAGAAATAAAATTCGAAGAGAGTGTCATTTTCGACAATGAGTTCAACATTTTCAAAAGGAAAAGGTTAGAAAGTGTACATTCTATTGCCAACAAATCGTACAACAATAAAACAAGATCAGTCGTGGGTGGAGACCTATAAATAGATGGGTAAAAAAAGACAGTGGTAGAATGTACAAACAGATAAAGAAAGAAAAGTAAAATAATCTGAAAGCAGGAGAAGAGAAAGAAGGAGAGAAAGTAATCCAGTATAGAAAAGAAAATGCGAGATATGATCTGAGATGACAGATAATAAGAAAAAGATATAGATAAATCTTATGTATGATGTTTATCAACTCCTATTCTATCATCGCATACATCATGTTAACATTGTTATTCAAATTCTGAAAAATTGTTATAATTTTAGATTGTGGATCTATAAACTATTTCGCTTTTAAACTACTGAGAATGATATGCTAACATATCGAAACGTTTATTTAATATATATTTAATAAATACGAAAGAAAAAAGTTCAAAAAAATCTCTCAACTACAATAAAATAGTTAAAACAAAATCGAACGTTTAAAGTTGAATAAGGGAAATTATCAAGGAAGACTATTAGTTAGGCATTAGCTCTCGGCCTAATAACGCTAACACGTGCATGTGTATTAAAATGTGGACGAGAAAAAAGATCTCATACACCGCTGGACTTCTGTTTATAGAGCAACATAAACATTCAATACCACGTAACTTTTGAGCAAAAAGCGAAATCTTACTTTTTGTTGCCATAAGGAGGAAAAATTAGCAATCACTACCGCTCAAATCTTGCTTAAACAGGAAAATAAACGTGACACTTAAAGTGTCACTTAGAAGTGTGTGCACCCTTTTAAGCAGTCGTTTCCCCCTTGAATTTTGGGCTATTTTTGGAACAGTTTTCTGGAAATCTTGCAAGGCTGACTTTCCGTAAAAGTTTTAACTTCTCATAAAAAAACAACTTATATCTCTCTAGCCAAAAATAACTAGACTCGGTATTTTCCATATATTCTCACTGTAAATTGTTCGTTTTGACAAAGTAAATAGAGATTCGGATAGCCCGTCAAATTCTCTACAACCCTCTATAAGTACATCTTCAATTGTATTCGTCTGTTAAAAACAAATTCAAGAGCAACAAAGACACCTTCATCATCCCATTCCCGGGGGATGAGCTGCCTTTCTCGCAAACCTATCTCCCCCTGGTTTTGAAACTTTTCTCCGATCGTCATATACCATTCGAATCAGCATTAAAAGGTGAAGAAAAGTATGTATCGCTTATTTCAAAAATTCTTTCCTTCCTGACAAAGTACATTCTTTCTAGATCAGGAGCGAACAAATCGGAATTCTGCCTGTAATTCTCTATTTTCTCCATCAGAACTCATTTTTTATGCAATAATAATATCATATTGGGAGTTTGCGTCGAAAATCGAGTCGAATGATATACTGTTTTACCCTAGTCGACCACCTTTGTTTTTTTCGAATCACGTCGAAGACTTACTGAGATTTTCACCAAAAAATGAAAATCCACAGAAAATTTCGAAACATATATCATTCGACTCAATTTTTGACGCAAACTCCCAATATGATATTTTTATTGCATAAAAAATGAGTTCTGATGGAGAAAATAGAGAATTACGGGGCAGAATTCCGATTTGTTCGCTCCTGATCTAGAAAGAATGTACTTTGTCAGGAAGGAAAGAATTTTTGAAATAAGCGATACATACTTTTGTTCGCCTTTTAATGCTGATTCGAATGGTATATGACGATCGGAGAAAAGTTTCAAAACCAGGGGGAGATAGGTTTGCGAGAGAGGTAGCTCATCGTGTCGAGTGCTGACTCTTGTCATAATTGTGCAACACAGGTATTTTGTTTTTTTGGGACTCAAAGGTACACAATTAGACTTAGTTTTTGATGGGGAATCCGAATATGTCAAATTTGAAAAATTATAGTGAACGGAAGGGGGCCAAATGTCAAGGTTTCTCAGAGTGATGCAAATGTTTTGTTTTCTCGGTGCTCTTAGTATTTTGAGAATTTCTCCCTCAAAACTTGATCGAACTCGAATAAAAAGGTGCTATTCGGAATCAGCGCAGTCAGGCGTATCTGACTACGTAGCTTTCGACCAAAAACTGAGATAGTGCTTGGTTTTTGAATTGCGCGCACCTTATTTATATAGCCGTTTTCACATCAAATAACCAATTTTACCGCATTACGAAGGTTTTTTTCTTTCCACGAAAGCGAAAAGATACATCTGAAATTTTCCTGATTAATAGTCAAGTTCTGGAAGAAGTTCGGTCAATTAAGGTGGCTTTTCGGCTTTCTCTTTGTTTTGAAAATGAAGTGGATGCCAATAGTGGTGTCCCTTACTTGTTCAAAGATAATTAACTGGTTTATGTTCGTTGATACATTTTCTGTATTAGTTTTATACACAGAATTTATGTTTACAAATTAATTTGGTAAGTTAGTCTTTCCTACGTTGAATTCATAAGAATCAATTTGTTTTGTAATTATATCACCTAATACGTATACGTTGAACTAACTCGCACATATATATTAAAGCTATTTTAGTTAGCTAACTTGTGCGAAAATCAGGAAAATTTCTGATGTATCTTTTCGCTTCCGTAGAAAAGAAAAAGATCTTCATAATGCGGTAAAATTGGTTATATAAATACATATATACATATGTATAACTGATATTTATAAAGAGGAAGAATACAGTTCAGCTTTAGATTGCGTTAGATTGTGTAACAGGGAATAAAACAATAAAAATTTGTTCTATTCTGTACATAGAAATGTATCCGATTTCTTATTCAGCAAAGGCAGAGAAAGAAAAAGAAAAGAGAATGATATTGATCTGCATCTACGCATAGACTATGATCTATGTCTACGTGTAGATTTATTTTTGATGACTTCCCTTACACAAATTGTCCGGTAGAAAACCGAATGTCATAAGCTTAGGTATAGAACGATACAACTGTTGTTTTTGTTTATCTTTTGACGTTTATCAGTATGAATTAGTTTATTTGATTTCCTTTTTGGTCTTCATTCGCATAGGATATGTATATAGTCAGGGTTGAAGATTGCTTAAATCTGTAGAAATCATGAACTGTATTCGGTATTTCTTTGTACTCCGTATGCAAATCATATATTTTGCTTATTATAACGTTCATTCTACAGAAAATTTATCGAAAAGGAATTGAAATATGCTGAATCTGACTAAAGAGACTTTTATATACGAAAGATGGTATGCCTTTTTATTATTCTAATAGAACGAATGGAGTAGTTTGACTAAAAATTAAGAGATAAGATTTTTTAGACAGGTAAGTGTGCTTTTTTCTATACAGTTTCTTACTATGTTTGTCAACTCTCTTGTCAATATAATGCTCGTTTTCTTTCATCGTTTTATTCTATCCGAAGTGCTTTATTCTTTCTTATGTTATATCACAGTACACGTCTATAATTCTTTTTAAATCTCTACTTAGAAGTGTATCTGATAGTACGCA